ATGGGTATGTCTTATGTGTAGGCAGATGCTTGTAAGTGCAGGTGCTCACGGAGGTCAAAAGAGGGCAGCTGATCCCCTGAAGCTTGAGTTACAGGATGTTGTAAACCACTGGTTTGGGTGCTGGGAATCAAACTCAGGTCCTCCAGTAGAACAGTGCATGATTAATTGATGAGCTGCCTCTCCAACTCCTGCCATTGCTTTTAACTGACACAAAATTCATATCTCATAGAGCATATTGTGATGTTTTAACATGTGCATATCATATAATAATGATATCAAAGAATCTAACATGACCATTGCCTCAAACATTTGTCAGTTTTGTATTGAAACCACATATAATCTTTTCTTCCAATGCTAACATTTTAATTTTATATGTGGCAATGATTTTAACTGGCATTTGTTCTTGTAGATCCTCCTCCATTCCCTTTCTCCCCCTCTCACTGATAAAACTAGCCCCAGTGGCTTCTCTCCTGCTTCTATTTCACATGCGTTCTGTTACTCTTTTCCTATGCAGATCGTTTTCTCCCTTTCATGGTCCTCTTCCTAGTTTCCTATATATCAATCCAGGATCCACATTTGAGAGAAAATTCACAGTATAAGAAAATTCTGCCTTATTTCATACAGAAAAATATTTTATAGTTTTGTTAATTCTCTGGCAAGTGTTATGATTTCATTTTCCTTTATGGCTGAATAAAACTCCTTTGTGTCTATGCCCCAAGTTTTCTTTATTAATTCATCTATTGATGGATGTCTAGGTTGGTTCAACTTCTTAGCTATTGTGAATAGTGCATCAATAAACATGTACATAGGGCCAAGATTTTAAGTCTTCTGGAAGGCATCACAGTCTGGCATCCCAGGGCTGGGCAATGCATCCTCTGACATCCAAACATCCCCTCCCTTGTTTGTCTGTTTTTTCCTCACCTATATGCTCTCATCTTAGAAACTACTACCATCTTTTATTGTTTTCAAACATACTTTCCACATAGTAACAACACTGAATTGGAGTACCTCAGCCTGGGTGCATCATTGGTATGGGCTGTTGGGATGCTATTGTTCACGATAATTTATGTCTATGCTCGTGTCATCAGTATGAAGCCTCGTGGCATGTGGAATGCGGCTGGTGGTCTGGCTACGAATCCTGAGACAAAGTGTCTCACTCAGCAACTCTTGTACTGGGAAGTAAATGATTGTGGTGGGAGAGTGAGGAGCAGTGCACAATCTATTAAGCAACATTCCCTGAGCCAAAGCCAGAGAGAGGTTATTGAGACATAATTGCACATTTGGCTCACAGCATAATACCAATAGCTTTCAGTTCTTTTATGGATTCTTTTCAGAAATAGCACATCACAATGCTCTTAATGGTGAGGAAAGTGATATTGTGTGGAAAAGCATCACCATCAACTGTTCTGTGATGAAAGTAAGTGGATGGACTAAGAGATTCTAGGAATTCCTTAAGAACCTCAATACGCTCTCTGTCCCCATTCCCCAAAAATCACCCAGATTATCTTCTGCAGACTTTTTCCACCACTCCATCCCTTTGTCTCAGCCTCCAGATCACAGAGGCATTCCTGGAAACTATCTAGAAATGCCAACTAGGAAATCAGATGGGTGACATTTACTGTCTCCCCTTGCCACCAAATCTAATCCCCCAGTCTCATCCCAGATCCTATAGAAGACCACCTGCTGTGGCCTCTCCTCCTTCTCTGCCCTATTCCCCATCAGCATCCCCCTCTTCTAGTCTGTCTTCATTTCTAAGTGTCAGCTTCCAACACCTAGAAGCATTCTACCTGGGACTCCCAGTGGCCACCTGGCAGGATCTCAGGACCATCAGTCAACCTACAGCTAACACACTCTCCTAAGAACCAGAGAGGGCAAAAGAAACAGAGGAATGGAACCTACCCAACAAAGAGAAGACCAGCTATCAGCACCTGCAGCTAAAATCATCCCAAACCCAGATGCCTAGATGCTAGCATTTGAACACTATCAGTAACAGGACAATGTGCCCCCACAGGAGCCTAGCAACCCTACTACAAGAGGCCTCGAGAAAGGCAATCTAGCCAAAGAACAAGGACTTCAAAATAGCTATTATGAGTATGTTAGAGGTTCTTAAAGAGGATGTGAATAAACCCATTAATGAAATCTATGAAGCCACAAACAATGGAATGAAAAAAATAAAAACCAAACTTGTGTAGTCACTTGGAAATCAGTGTGACAATTCTCCAGGAAGCAACATCAATCTTCCTCAATATCCAGGTGTATCTTGGGCATATATCCAGAGGACAATTCATTGTACTACAGGGACATTTGCTTAACCCTGTTTGCTTCTACTTTATAATAGCCAGAAACTGGAAACAATCTAGATGTCTGTAACAGATAAATAAATAAAGAAAATGTGGTACATTTACACAAGGGAATATTACATAGTTGTTAAAAATGAAATTATGAAATGTACAGGTGAGTGGATGGTGCTAGAAAGTACCTGAGTGAGGTAACTGAGACCCAGAAAGACAAATATGGTAGGTATTCACTTATATGTGAATGTTAGCTGTTAAGTTACTCATAAGTAAGCTACAATCTGTACAACCACACAGGCTAGACACAGAATAAGAGACTAGTGGGGAGGGGCGGATCTCACTAGGAAGGGGAAATATAATACATAGCCATGGATGGATGGGGGTGTGCATGGATAGGAATGGAATGGGGGGTTAAACAGGGAGGGAGGGGAGAGGGGGATAAGGGAGAGAATACAGGGCCAAAAGTAAAACTAAGGGCCATTTGAGGTGTTGTATGGAATCCGAATACAGTAGAAGCTTCCTAAAATATATACATTTATGAAGGTGATCTAAACAAAATCACCAAATACTGGGGGGGGGAGACAGGGCCCCAAATAGACATCTCTTATCACTAAATAAATCTTTCAAGACTTGGAATGGGTTAAGGATAAATCTAATCAAGTTGTTGGCTGAAAGGGTCCAATGGAAATCCTCTAACAACTTAGGCTATGGCCAAGGCTATTGATTGCACTCTAAAAACTGACAGCAAGGCTTACTGTTGAAAACAACACCCACACGACTCATTGACCAGGACAAACTTGAGCTGGTGCCTACCTAGAGTGTCTTTACTCTCAGGGATCATGGTACTTGAAAGTACTTTGCATGCTACCAAAGGAGCATGCAAACCTAAACACCAACCTAGCTACAAAGCCTTTGACCTACAGTGATAACCTACCTATAAGGTACACAAGTGCAATATGGCACAATGTTTGTGGAAGTTACCAACTACTATTTGATTGAAGGCACACTGCAAGAGATGGAATCCATTCCTGACACTGCTTGGGTAGCCAAACATCTCAAACTAGATAGGCCATGGGCCTAGGGGAAAACCAAATATTACTGTAAGGCTAAAATAATGTAGCAATGAAATGACTCCTTACAACTTTCTTCTACACTCATAGATATGTGCCTTGCTCAGCCATCATCAGAGAAGCTTCTTTCCTGCAACGGATAGAAACAAATACAGAGACCTACAGCCAAACACTGTGCATAAAGTGAGAGACCTTGGAGCACTCTGCCCTAAAAGAGATATCTTTATCAAACTCTTCCCCTAGGGACTCAAGGAACTCTGTTGTAGAGGAAGCAGAAAGAGAAAGAGTCAGAGGAGATGGAGGACAGAAAGAAACAAGGCTTTTCTAAACACAGCAGAATTGATGTTCAGACGAACTCACAGAGAGGGAGGCAGCAGGCACAGGGGCTGCACAGCTCTATACCAGAGGAGTCCTAGAGCTGAGAGAAGTGACACCACAATAAAAATCCATGTCAAATAATATGAATGGAGGAGTCTGTGTCATATTTAGTTGGAATTTCCCCTGTCTTAGCAGTGCATACAATGATGGTGTGTATGTCATGTGATCTTATTTAAGAAACAGCTCTCAAGAACAGCTTCTTCTGGTGCCCAAATCAAGCTGGGTCATCACTTGATAGACTTTCCTTCAATCCAGAGGATCCTTATATCTCTAAGAAACAGTACTTGTCTAATAAGTTAATATCTGGAAGGCTGGAAGCTCAATGTAAAAAGGTTTGCATCCTACTTGCTGTTCCCTCTCTCCCAGAAGCCAGAATGCAGACATTGTTCAAGTAATGCCTGTTTGGATATGAGGGATAGCTCAGTAACAGAGTCCTTGCTTAACAGGCAAAGGGTCCTAAATTCAGTTCCTAGCATTGTAGGAAAAGAAAAGAGCTATTTGTTTAAATGAATGAATGACTTTGATTATGGCTGTCCTCATGACCTCTGTTAGCCTAGAAATAGACAGCTCTACAGAAGTTCTGACTTCATCACAGCCAGGATGTGGAGCTGGAAAAGTGACTTGGTGAGGGAGAACTGGGGTAAGAAGAAAGCTTTTGGTTGTTAAGATGTGGTTGTAACTCCTGCCTGAGCAAGGGACCTCTGCAATACCTATTTACTGCACTGAAATGCAGCACCCAGTTTAAGCCTCAATGGTCTGCTTCCCCTGCATCTTTGGGCAAAGTCACAATTTATTACCTGTAAGCATCTGTGTTACTGCCCTAGGGAGAAGTGTCTAGGAGGGTCTTCTGTCCTATGTGAGATGGACTGTAAGACCACATTTCCTGACCCTAATACGGACAAAAAGAATACTTCCCAAATGGTTGAAGATATGACCTCAGTTGGTAGAAAGTTTGCTTAGCATGCACAAAGTCCTAGGTTCAATCCCTAGCACCACCTAAATACACACTTAGCACTTGGTTCAGAAGTTCAAAGTTCAAAGTTATCTTCAGTTACTTAGGGAATTTGAAGGCAGTCTAAGATACATGAGACAGAGAGAGAGAGAGAGAGAGAGAGAGAGAGGGAGGGAGGGAGGGAGGGAGGGAGGAAGGTGGGGGAGGGAGGGAGGGAGACAGAGAGAGACACAGAGAGAGAGACAGAGACAGAGACAGTGAGACAGAAACAGAGCTAAGCTAAGCAAAGCTTTAAAAGGCCATCCATCTGCCCTTAGAAGCATTGCAGGTATGTCTTCTGTGTCACATGTCCTTCAGTAGGTGGCAGAGTGGAGAGAGACTATGTCTATGCTCAGTGTTCTGACTTATGAACATCTGAATACCTAGTAGCCTAATATTCCCTGAAAGAAAGGAGCCTGAGAAAACCATCAATTCGGTACCAGATCGTCTCAGACATGTTCCCAGGATGGGGAGAAAGCCAGAGACTAGAACACTGCCTGGGACTGCAGGCCCTGGGCAGGAGTGAGCCTGAGACAGATGACCCTCACAAGGGGCCACTCAGGTGGGCTAGGCAGGGAGCAAGCCTGAGATGAACACCAGGTTGGCACAGTGAGGCCTAGACGGGAGCTACCCTGAGATTTTCACCAATCCAACCACATGAGTGTTGGGGGGTGAGGCAGGCCAAGAAGACCCCTGCCCAATGCCATAATGCTCTAGTGGGGTATAACACGCCTGGAACCACTCCTGAGATGGACCCAGACACCCAATGCCACTAAGAGGAGCAAGTAGTAGTGGAGAAATGGAAGAGAAAGAGAAAGAGCAGGATGTGGGCACAATGAAGAGAGGCAGAGCTGGAGACTCGAGGGTAGTGAGGAGCAGCCTGACGTGAGTAACCGGTGATGCCACCTGGGACCATGGCGGAGTCCTGGCCTGTGCTGCCACGGGGGCAATGTCTGTGTCTGTGGTCCTGCTACAGCAGGGATCTGTTACCACCAAAGGCCAGGCAGCCGTCTCTGTCTGGTTTGGCAATCAGGGACATGTGATGTCTGAGAGCTGTGCAGAACTGGCCACCCCTCGCCAGGGCATCATGGGAGAGCTGGCCCTGGAGGCATGAGAGCTGATGCTGCCCCTAGCAAGCTGCAGTACTCCAGAGAGCTGACACATTGCTAGAGTTTTCGGTGAGCAGGCCCAATACAATCATAGGAGAGCTGGCCCTATCATTTGTCTCCCATGCAGTGGCATGGATGAGAAAGAAATGTTCTCCTCCCTCCTCACCACTCACCACCTGCAGCAGGTGGGAGAGCTGTCTGTGGGGTCATGAGAGCAGGGGAGCTGTCCCTGCTCCTCACCATCTACAGCACTCAGGAGAGCAGGCCCTGTGTAGCACAGTAGATTTGACCCTGGTAGAGGAGGCATGGGTGAACTGGACCTAAGAACACGAGCATGGGCGAGTTGGCTCTGCCACTTGTCTGCCATGGGGTGACATGGGCAAGAGAGAGATGGTTCCCCGCCTTCTGCCACCTATAGCAGGTAGGAGAGCTGGCCCCAAGGTCATCAGAGCAGGAGAGCTATCCCTACCCTTCACCTGCTGCAGCACTCAGAAGAGCAGGCCCTGCCACTCACCTGGGCAGCAGAGTATAGCTAACCCTGATTATAAGACTTGCAGGTGAGCCATGATAACAGAAGAGCTGGCCCTGCCTCTTGTCTGGATAGTGATGATATGGATGAGAGAGTGATACCCTCGTCTCCTCCCTCATCCCTCAGCTTCTATAGCAGATGGGAGAGTAAGCCCTGAGGTCATGAGAGTGGGAGAACTGGACATGTTCTTCGCCAGCTGCAAGCACTTAGGAGAGCACCTGCACCTTGCCTGGGCATCAAGGTAGAGCTGGCCCTAGTTGCATGGGTTTCTGGTGAGCCAGCCCAAAGGTATGAGAGTGAGAAAGCCTGTGGGCTCACTATTTCAGATACCTCTTAGGCCCAGAGCCAAGGCTTTGAATTGGCTCACCCCAACATCCACCCTATTGATGAAATGCTGGAATGCATGAAGGGGCTGGTCTTATAGACCCCAAACTACAGGATCTCGATGACACAGGGCAACAACAGGATAGCCAAGAAGAGTTCCAGTACTGATAGCATAGGAAGCACCAAAACCCTCACATCAGACCAGTGAGTCATTGCAATGAGCATTTGCGAGCAAAGAAGTGTGAACAAAGGGATATACTGTGGGACACTCAGTGACACATGATAGCTTCCAAAATAAGAGGTTTTTTTTCTTTGTTGAGGGGGAAGATGCCAAGGGTGGAGAGCAGATAGAGGGGAGGGGGGATGAGTGGGATTGGGGTGCATGATGTGAAACTCACAAAGAACCAATCAAAAAGTCTTAAGGCCACCCAGCCTGCGTTTCTGAGACTTTCTTACTTAGAAAAAGTATTACTTACTGAAAAAGTAAGACTTTCTCACACTGTAGCTTTTGGACAGAAACCAGGCCCTAGTCAGGCTCTTCAGCGGCTCCTCCCAGGCTGTTGGGCAGGACCTGGGAGCCCACTGGCTTCTTGTCAGCTCTAAGCACACTGAGAAGGAAAGTTAACAAGGAAAGCCCGGCTCCAACTGCTGGCAAACTTCTGAATCCCCTGAAGCAAAGCAAGCTGTGAGTGTGTCTGCTTTCCACCTTGGGCATCTCAGAGGGAAAAGGCTTCATCCATGAATGGCTGGCACTTTTGTCTTTGTCAGAATGAAAGTCTGTCTAGAAGTTGAATAGTATGCTCTCAAGAGGGAGGTGGAAATGCAAGATTTGGGGAAGAACCATCTTGTAAGACTCTAATGAAATTGACTCCAGCATTTCTCCATGGGCAGAAGGAGCCCCATGCTGTTTCTACACTACCTTGGGACACAAGCAGTAGTGGTAGCCTCACACCCTCTCACCATCATGGCCTGTTATCTGGAAATATTTGATATTTATAAATTACCTCCTGACCTATGAAAGTAATGACTTCAGTTGATCCTCTGTGACTTCTACATTGGGGGTGCAATTAATTATTAGAAGAAAAAGTCTACTTAAAAAATTTATAAAGAATTTTAAAAAGCAGAACTTGTTCATACAGTGAGGACTAGTTTGCACATACGCAGCCTTCCAGCAGAATCCAGCATTGCTTGTACATTCTTAAGGTCTTCTGAATGATATGATGTTAAAGCATCTCTGTCTGTACCGTGTGTGTAAATATGTTGCTGTCCTTAATCTCAAAACAGTACACTTCTATTATATTTGGTATTGTGAGTGACTGGGAGATGATTTAAGGCATATATGAGTATATTTAGTTTATATGTAAGCACCTCACCATTCTATGTAAGTTCTACATAAGAGATGTGGACAGCTGCAGATTTTGGAATGCTGAGCTGTGTCTTGGGATCAACAGACACAATGACCCCTGAATACAGAAGGTGACGGCATATTGCACTATGAGGATCCAAATATCCCAAGGAACCCAAGCCATGTCTTAGTTTCCCCACAAAGCCCTCATTCACATTAAGTCCCTCCTGTAGAATAGATGCCAAGTATGTTCCCAAAACATTAACAATTGAAAACCACATGTGAGATTCTGTTGAAACCCTCACCAGCTCTGCAAATTTCATTTCTTTCATTTTTTGTCCTCCTTCCCTCCCCCTCCCCCTAACCCTCCCGCCGGGGGGGGGGGGGGGGGGGGGGGGGGGGGGGGGGGGGGG